TTCTGGATCCGTGCTGTGATTTCGTCACCAATCAATCTGTTGGTGCTGATACAACTTCCCAAATAAGTGAAGTGGTCAACATGTTCTATCACTTCACTCCCTATCACTAAGCTAGGAGTTGACGTAGTCCAGTCCTGTAGCAGCATCTTACATTTCACAGGGGCGAATCGCATGCCAAACATATGAAGATTGCTGCTCAAGGTGTTTAGAAGACTCTGCATTTCGTCAGCGTCCTCCCCTAACAGGACTATGTCGTCTGTGTATTCTAAGTCTCTAAGACTATTCCCTGGTAACAAGTCGATTCCCAAGTCGTTAAGTTCAGTTAAGGATACTTCCATTAGCATATCTATGATGAAGTTAAACAGAAAAGGGGAAAGTGGACATCCCTGACGGACACCACTGGTTGTTATCAATTCAGATGACAATTCCCCATAAGCCCTTACATGGCTACGTGAGTTTGAGTAGAGTGCCTTGATTAGTGCAATGTATTTTCTTGGCACTCCCTTCACAGTCAAACATTGCCATAGTACCTCTCGATCCACGGAGTCGAGGGCCGCCTTCAAGTCAAGAAATATGGCAATTGTTGGACGCCTAAAAGTGTGTCTATGTTCTAGGATCTGTCGGAGAGTGAAGATATGATCTATGCACCCTCTACCTGGCCTAAAGCCCGCTTGATTTTCCCTCGTTTGTTCCTCCCGAGTTCGGCTTAGTCTGTGCATGATTACTGAGCCTAGGATTTTAGAGACTGTTCGTCAGGCTGATTCCTCTATGATTATCACATGAGGACTTGTCTCCCTTCTTGAATATTGGTATAATAAGTGACTTACCTCAATCTGATGGAACCGTCTCTGATTCCCAGACGTTACCTTGTACCTTAGTTAAACTATATACTAGTATGTCACCCCCATATTTAAACACCTCCGGAATAATTCCGTTGGGTCCTGCCGCTTTGCCTTGTTTCAGATTACAGATAGCTTTTGTGACCTCACTTACAGACGGCGGGCCAGTGTCTGTGTCCCATTCGAGTGTGTGCTGGATGGCGGGGAGGCTCAGTGTGGCTGTAGGCAAGTTGAATTGTTCTTTCCAGGGTTCAAGGCGTCTATCCAGAGAGCTAATTAAGGAGCCATTTTTCTCTGAAATAGTCTCACTTATGATTTGCCTTCTCCCACCCGTTTCCCTGATCAGTCTAAAGAGTTGCCTATCGCCGATGCTTTTTCTTCTCTTTCGCCTTTGTCAACCACCACTGTTCACGGTCCTTGCGGAGACTTTTTGTAAGTTTCCTTTTGTGCAGCTTTCGCTCGTCATTGAATTCGGAGCTCGCCGGAATAAGTCTTGTAGCATCTATCAGTTCGGATGAGGCAGTCGAAATCCAATGGTTTTTACTCACCTTTGGAATTACCTTATTCACAGCTGTATCTATGGCTGACTGAATATTCTTCCAGGCTTCTTCAGGGTGAGCGCATCTGTCGAACTCAGATATGTGTTTAGCTAGTTCTTCCTCAAATAGGGACTTAGTTTCCTGATCGAGCTGGGAACGTGATGGGTTTACCGCTCGCTGTTTCCTACGTCCGTTCAGTCGTAAGCACACACGAGTGCGGACCAGTGCGTGATCGGTATCTACACACGTGTTCCAGAAGGAGCGACAATCTCCTACCGACCCACGCCAACGATAGCTTATTGCTATGTGGTCTATTTGTGTCCAGCGTTGGTTTGATGATGGAGGTCGCCAGGTCAAGCAGTGTCTCTCCTTGTGTTTGAAGTTAGTGCTTACAAGAAACAAATAATTATCTCAACAGAACTGTAGGAGACGGTCACCGTTGTCGGTTCGCTGGCACGGAATTCCGTATGTGCCACCGAAATTCTTCTCAGATTGACACAATTTCCCCACTTGAGCATTAAAGTCACCAGCTAAAACGACTATATCTGAGCGTTTAGCCTTTCGCAGCAAACTAGACAGCTTTTGGTAGAACTCATCCTTCGTTTCATCCGAACTGCAGTCAGTGGGGGCGTAGGCGGAGATTACGAAAAGGCATCGGTGAGTAGTGCAGTCCTTTCTCCTTTTCACTGATCCGTTCAAACGGACAACACACATTCGGCTATCTACCGGGATCCAGTCAAGTAATGTCTTTTCTGCCCTAGTACTTAAAGCTATCCCAACACCAACTAATCCTCGAGAGCTAGCCGTCGCATCTCCTGACACCCTCAAGGTGAATTTTGCAGATTCATCCTGTTGGCCAGGTGGGGTTAGGTGAATAACCACACTTGGGTCTTGTATGCGTGTTTCTGAAACACAACATACATCAATGGCTCGGGATGCCAGAGTCTTGGCTAGTGATGCCTGTTGTCCTATTTGGCAAAGTGTCCTAACATTAAATGCCCCTATCTGAAATTGGTGACGTGGCTTTAGGAGACTATCGATGGTGGTTTTTTGGCTTTCGTCGTTTTCAATGCACACAGAGTGAAGAGGAAGTGAAGAGCCATTACGTAGAGGAGTTGCATTAGTAGAAGGAAGGCAAGATAATAGAGATGAAGATGAAGACAAAGGTGAGTGAGGATTAGGGAGGTTTCGCGTGCACTTCGGATTGTGAGGGCGATTGTTACTTCCCGGCTGCCCACACCGTGGAAGTTGGTTGTGTGACCGCAGAGCCCAGGGGACAACTGCTTGACGCCGGTCACGCACGGCCTGTTTTTGTTTGTTGTTTTTCATTTGGTGTGTCTCAGTAGCGTATTTATCACTTCTGCCCTGTGACACGGCAGCAGAAAGCGCGGTCGTTGTTAATCCGGGCCCCGATCCGGCATGATATTTTGTGATTTATTTGAGGTCATAGGATTGGATTGGGTAACTGCTTTTAGTCTAACCGCTATCCAAACAACCTTTCTGGCATGGTAGGACCTGCAGGAACATAGGTTCCAGCCAGTATAGCTTGTTGGCTCATTGCGGTGTTCAAGCCCGACCACCACGTCAAGGTAGCAACATTCGGTCGGGCTCCTCCTCATACGATCTCCTCCATGTCACTATAGGACCGACATACAACTCACCACTGCCCATTTGCTTCCCACTCGAGTGATGGCCTGGCGTTTGATGTTATTCCACAATCTCCCCAGCCCATGCCCAATCCATCTCCATTTTCTCTGTGTATTTGCTGGGTACTAATTTCCAGGTTGGTTTGTTCCCTGGGTTTCTTGTTGCCGATTCTTCTTGTCTGGCTATATATGATGCTTACTTAGGTGACAGTGAAGTCAGCTGATGATAAGAGTCTGCAACATACTGCTGCAGATGCATCTCGTGACGTGCAGTGCAAGTTTGTCACTCATATGGAAGCACTGACCGACATAACATCGGTGCTGCAAATCTGATTTTTGTTTTTTGTGCTGAGTGCAGCATAGACGATTTCCAAACTAATTTCAGAGTGATGAAGCTGAACCTTGGATTTCCGATCACGCATGCCTGCCCGCCTACCTTTGACATGCTCGCCTCTGCTGTCCACCTGTAGTAGAAACGACTCTGTCCAGATGAGTGGAAGAGGTAACCAATCTCAAATTTATTCCGTTCACAGTGATTGATGCTTGTTGTTGTTGTTAGTTGGTTGGTTGGTTGGTTGGTAGGTTGGCTGATTGGTTGGTTATCTTCATCACCTCTGTCGTCTCTATGCTCACTTGAAGTTCCGTCTTCGCTGCCTGCCTCTTCTGCTAAGTTGTTGTTTCTCATCTGTAAGTCTTCGACTTCGTGTGATGTTAGATATAAATCATCCACGATGCCTAGACCTCCTGGGTTCTTTTGGTTGATTCGGCGTATTCCTCTCCTCTCACTTCCACGAACGGTGCGCCACATAATCCATTCCAGTAGAATTAGGAATGTCATCGACGACAGTAGACAGCTCTGTCTAACTCATGTCTTCACTTCAAATTCGCCACTGAGTTTTGTTTTGTTGATCACCTGACACTCGGATTTGTCTTTTTGCCGGTGAAAACATTTGATAACGATTTGGAGCACTACATATTGTTGAGGTAAGCTCCAAATTATCACTCAGTGAACGCTCTCGTCCGCGTATGTCAAGATGGTAGACAAATTTATTTGGGAAATCAATCGAAAGTTATTCATACAGAAACGAAACATCGTGTATGCTACAAAGTAACTTATATTCTTCAAGCGGTCTTTCTATTCAAGTTATTCTTATGAATTTCAGACACTCTAATCGTCTGCAACAATGATAATGATTGTTAACTCATTAAAGTTATCTTCTCTCCAATAGGTGGAACACCGAATTTCGCTAATAAATTGAAAAATAGTGAAAAGAAAGTTCAAAAGCTAACAAGTAAGTTAGCTTTTCGGGTTTGATTGACGACTTATTCGACGAATTCCACCTTCATATCCACATCAAAGATTCTCGGTTTATTATTTATCTAACAGGCATAGAAATGTTTGACTCAATTTGGTGTATCCAGTTACAGTAATGACTAATTATCTGTAGTGTAAATACGATTGTAGATATTATGTGTTCTATTGAACAATGTAAACTCTGGTATATAAGTGATTCTAGTTTGTTATCTTCTTCAATAGTGACTGAGTCATTTCAATTAGGCTATTTTAATGCATTCATCGTTTTGTGACACTGTGGACACATGGTGACTCGACAAACGCTTTAAACATTTTGATACGTTGATTCAACCTGTTTCTTGTGAGTGACTGTTGGCATATTTTCCGTCCTTATTTTTCAGTTTTTTTTGAGAATTATTTTTGTCATCAATACTGATAATCTGTCCTACATTCTCTGTTTTTCTCGTATCGGGTTTGACTCATTAAATGTGATGTATTTCTTAGTATGATAATTTTACTCGGAATAACAGATATCGATACAATATCACTTAATTAATGATGGCGTTTTTTAGTTCAATTCATTATTCATATTCACAAATGTGCTGAGAGTTAAATGAAAAGAGATGGTAATACTGACGCATAAACCGTCATCTTCGCTAAATAATTTAATGTCTAACTCACCCACTTTTAGCTGATTTCAAATTTCATCTTATACGATTGAAAAAAACGCAAGAGAATAATATGGTGCAGAAGACGTGATGAAATAAACATTTTAATAATATCGGTCAATGTGATTGTCAAAGTTTATGCCCTTGATTTGTATCTTACAAATGATCTCCACGCTTTTCATTCTTCTTAAAGATAAATTGGCAAAGAAAGGGAAGAGAACTGACGAATGTAAGTGGGTCATTTATGTTTCAATGACGGACAATTGATTTTAGATGTCAACTGTATTAGAGAACAATTCAAATACAAATATGGAAACAAATTCGACAAATGTACGTTCGAAGATTTATTTTCACTGCATATACTACTTTTATTCACATGATGATAATATCAGCTTAGAGATTTATGTTCCAAGAAAATAATCAATGTTTTGAAACAAATTTCACTTAAGTCACATGCACCAGCAACACCACACTTACAACATCATCAGAAACTTGATCTACAAAGTACACACATAGAGACTCCATTTTGAGGCAATTCTGTGAAGACAGTGGAAACCTTCGTGAAATTTACATTCATTTAACAAAACTCCATCAACCTCATCACTGTAAATTCTTCGAGTATCTTCTACTACTAAGTGTCAATTGATAATATTCGAGAGACTAGGGAAGAAAGAAACTTTGAGTAAGATGAGAAGAAATAGATAATACTTCACTTTGAGTATCACACTATCTATCTTATTAAATCTCAGAATCAACAACCTTCATATAATCATGACAAATAAATAACGAAAATACTATGCATTATTCAGTCCTCTGCGTTTCGAGTTAAAGACACGGTTTCAAGCTCTGAATTTCAAAGTTTTAGTGGTATTAGTAGAAATATAAATTTCTCAACGACGAATTTTTCATTTGTAAGTTGAAATGTGTTCATAACAGTTTTCTATAATTTTTCAGTGGTATCTGATGCTATAAACAGTAATAAAAATAGTAAGCCAAACGTATTTTGATTACCTTCACATTTTCTTAACACACTTTTTTGTATCGCGTTGATGTTCAGTGTGTGCAGATGAATTTGAAAATAATTTTTTCTCCTGTTGCCTTACCTCAATAGTCACTACATTATCGACAATTGATGAAAATTTACATGATGTGACCCGACAAATGACGCTTTACATAATTATTTCATCGATGCATCTGCTGCTTACTTGATGACTTTATTATTGCTGTTCTCTTGAGTTCCGAATGGAAAACAGAACCGTAAAGTAGCCCTGACTTCACATTGTAGTTGCGAATCCGCATCTTGTTTTCCATACTGAATGCTGTTAACCTACTCACAGACTTGAGAGAATTGAATGCTTGCCTTGCTTTCCCAATATTCGCTTTCAGATCCTCGTCAGTTCTGTCCGCCTGTAGTTGAAACGATGCTTCTCGGGTAGTTAGGTGTTAAAGAGGGTTGCTTCTTTCAGATTCCTCCCATTTATGCTGACTGATTGTTGTCTGTTGTTGTTGTTGTCGCCCAGGAATCCTAATCACCTCAGTTTTCTCTGTGTTCACCTGAAGGAAGTCCTATCTTCTCTGGATGCTTCTTCTGCCAACTTGTTGCTTCTCAATCGCATATCTTCCAGTTTTTGGGAAATCAGACATATATCACATCGACGAAGTCCAGATCCTCCAATTGTTTTCAGTGTGGGTCCATTTTATGCCTGTCTCCTGTCTCCTCGCTGCCCTCTGTCTGTCACACTATCCAGTCTACCGCAATCAGGAAAATCTTTGGAGATAGTAGGCAGTCAGCCAACCTTGTCTTACTGCCATCTCCACTTCGAAGCATTACGTGAGTTTCCTGTTGTGGACTGCTTGGCACTCAGCATTGTTGTACAACTGTTGAATGAGATGTATAATTGTTGGCGGCACCCCGTAGTAGCGAAGTAGTTGTAAAATCACCTCTCGATCATCGCTGTCCGTCGGAGGCCTTTTCAAAGTCAATGAAGCTGAGGTAGAGAGCTGACTGCCATTCCAAGCTCTGTTCAATGATGATCCGTAATGTTGCGATTAATTCGATGCATGACTTGTTTCTTTCAAATCCAGCCTGTTATGGTCGAAGATTTTCATCCAGTGCGTGATTACTCCTTACCCAGTTGTGATTTCATCAAGTCCGGTGATGTCTCTGAGTCCATTTCCATTCCTTCTGCTGGGAATCCATCCGGTCCTGCTGCTTTTCCAGCGTTTAGCATCTTGATTGCCTTCAGGATTTCTGTTTTCATTGGGGGCGGCTGGCGATTAAGAAGTATTTGATGTGTACGGCCAGTGTCTCCTCTGCTCCACCTCTTCAGTGATTCACTTTCCATTGTTAATCTTTCACTGGCTTAATTTGTGTTGATCTCTTCCCCGATAGGAACCTAGTTGTTTGGTAGAGAGAGTGTTGTGAGGTCTCCTTTGCCTGCAGTGGAGCTTGTTCTGCTTCACTTGCCATAACTTCTTGATATTGTCTTTTGTCTTCCCTGGAACTTTTCTTTAATATTTTGTTCAGTGTTATGTAGCTTGCATTCAACTCGTGCTTTTGTTGCTCGTCAATGCAAGGGATAATCTTTTGTTTCACCATCCTGCTCTCTTCTGTTGGTCTCCATGAGCCACTTTGTCCTGTCTCTTATTTCTGCCTAGAAATTCCATGAGGGTTTGAATCCACACTGCTTTCAGGTTGTCCCAGTGCTTTTCATCGCTTGTTCCTTCTTGTTTTCCTTCACGTTCCCCAGTGGAACATAGGGCTTCAAGCTAGAGACTTGAAGTTTCTGTAGCAGTGTTTATTTATTTTACAGGATGGGGTTGCTAGCCTCATGCCCAACCTTTCCTCTTCACCAGCATTATTTTTGGCTTAGCGAGGTTCCTTCGCTAGCGTTGATTTGTTTCTCCGCCTTTTTCCTTATGATTTCAGTGAATATGTGGTTTAAGGCCTGATCCCTGAGTTTTCAAGTATTGATTTGCTTGAGGTTTATTGACATCTCCTATGGAGACAGCAAAGTCAGCTGATGATAAGAGTCTGCAACATACTGCTGCAGATGCATCTCGTGACGTGCAGTGCAAGTTTGTCACTCATATGGAAGCACTGACCGACATAACATCGGTGCTGCAAATCTGATTTTTGTTTTTTGTGCTGAGTGCAGCATAGACGATTTCCAAACTAATTTCAGAGTGATGAAGCTGAACCTTGGATTTCCGATCACGCATGGCTGCCCGCCTACCTTTGACATGCTCGTCTCTGCTGTCCACCTGTAGTAGAAACGACTCTGTCCAGATGAGTGGAAGAGGTAACCAATCTCAAATTTATTCCGTTCACAGTGATTGATGCTTGTTGTTGTTGTTAGTTGGTTGGTTGGTTGGTTGGTAGGTTGGCTGATTGGTTGGTTATCTTCATCACCTCTGTCGTCTCTATGCTCACTTGAAGTTCCGTCTTCGCTGCCTGCCTCTTCTGCTAAGTTGTTGTTTCTCATCTGTAAGTCTTCGACTTCGTGTGATGTTAGATATAAATCATCCACGATGCCTAGACCTCCTGGGTTCTTGTGGTTGGTTCGGCGTATTCCTCTCCTCTCACTTCCACGAACGGTGCGCCACATAATCCATTCCAGTAGAATTAGGAATGTCATCGACGACAGTAGACAGCTCTGTCTAACTCATGTCTTCACTTCAAATTCTCCACTGAGCTTTGTTTTGTGGGTCACCTGATACGTTTTTTTTTACAGATAGTTGGGAAGATCTCTGTCATTTTGTGTTTATGGAAAGTGAAATCATGACCATGGATGATTGATTTCTTATTCTGAATATACCTGATGAGAAACTTCTAACTGCTGCAGATAATCTCTCAAGTTAAATCGCCAATATTTTCAATTTGTTGTATATTCTAAATGGATGTGACTTCTTGATTCTGAGACAGTTGTGGATATCATTTACGAATTTACTCACAGATGTATACAAGAATGATGAATCTGTTATGAACTGTCTAAAGACAGAAGGTGACGAGTACAGAAGTGAGTGAAATATTCTTCCATTTATATTTTCTAATTGCTTGGACCCAGACATTTACCTGTCTCAGTGATGAACAACATATTTTATTCACCTGCTGAATTGTGGTATTCGAAGTAGAAACATGGAAACTGATGATGTCATACATCGTCTAATATAGTCCAATTTGAGGGAGTTAAACATGTGCTGCACGGAAGGACAGTAGGTACTGTGTGGTAAGGTGTATGCGTCTTAAAACGCTGAATATATTTCTTTCACTTAGTATAGTTTACAGAAGCTACAGTTGTGAAGAAAGCAGTATTGGATGAATTGATCAGTTTCAGTACAAGGATTCGTCAACTGAATACTCCCTTACATACATTGCTATTTATACAATTTCCTTTTAAGTTTAAATGCATAAACAAAGACAAGTACGTTGTGACAACAAACAACAAAGGATCGACTTCAAACGATGTGTGATCTGTGAGTGGTGAGTGATAATCTGTTAAGGTCATTATTAAGTGAGGAGTATTCATCACAGCACACAGACTGGTGTAAGGACTTGAGATATTATGGTAGAACCAAGACAGTGATTAGCATATGGATTTTTTACATTATAGATTATTTAAAATAACCCCAGAGTGTTTAGGATTTTTTGAGTATATATTTTGATGATCAATAGAATTCGAATACTTCTGCGGAAGAAGCTGTGGCTTGCACGGAGAAACGTTCAGGAAAATTTGTTTTGATTTTTCCTAAACAAGCTAGGGTTATTTTAAATAGTTTATAATATACCAAATCTATATGTCTATCACTGTATTAGTTCTCCCACGATATCTCTAGTCCTTACACCAGTCTGTGTACTGTGATGAATATTCTTCACTTATTAATGACCTTAACAGATTATCACTTGCCACTCATAGATCACACATCGGTTGGAATCGATACTTTGTTGTTTGTTGTCACAACGTACTTGTCTTTGAATAAGGCATTAAGAAGACAAATTTCGCGAGATGATATCATTTCGTAGTTTCTTTACAACCGCTTTATAACTAACATGGTTAACAATAATAAAATAAAGTTCATGACAATTACTCAGTTAAATAGAAACAAAAGTACATACTAATGACCAATCATATTTAGATAGGTCATGTTGTCCATGGTAGGCGAAGATTGAAGTCTATTGATTTTTGTACACACAGTTTAGCCTGTATGTGATTAATCCAAAGTGCTTCCATCACCTTCAATAACCTTGAATTAGAGTTATGTGAAATAATTGTAAAACAGTCATTAATATTGATTTTGAGACCTGACATTAATAAGTGTTTTGCAATGGATGACGCTGGATTTCTATTCAGATTACTGGCATTGGGATTTTCAATATGATTTAGTAGCCATTTTGGAACATGTTCTTTCCGACGACATTGGAACATTCTGTTGATTCTACCTATATAGGTGTCACCACAGCTGCAGGTGAACTTGTAGATACAGTTTGAATTAGAGTCCACAGAATTTCGTCCTTTAATCGTAGGTACAGGGATAGAAAATGTTCGGCACGTGAGAAAAAGAGATGCGGCGTAGAATGTGCGTTTGATGGCTGACCGAAGTCTTTGAGCTGTCAACTGCATAATCTGATCACCCTTGAATGGTAGGTTAATAAAGATAGCTTTCTTTGGTACCGAAGCTGTCTTTTCGAGATGCGGTCTTTCTTTACTGTGACAACTGATAAAGTTTTCCGGATAACCATTAGCTAATAAAACTGAATGTATATGTCGAAACTCATCTATCACTGTGTCACTCGTGCATATTTTTCGGGCCCTTGAGAACAAACATTTCACTAGGGAACGTTTATACTGGATAGGAACAAAACTGGTAAAATGAAGATATTGTCCACTCCATGTCTGTTTACGAAAGATAGATCTCTGAATCGTACCATCATCTCTCCTGGTCATTTTAATATCGAGGAAACCGAGTTTGTTATTCGATTCGCGTTCGGAAGTCACTCGGATATTTGGATGAATATGATCAAATAGAGTAATAAAGTTTTCAATAGATTTACCATTATTAGCAATAATGAGGGTATCATCTACATAACGTTTATACAGCATAAATTCTCCAAGCATACCTTGCATTTGTCTTTCCAATTTCGACATGAAAATATCTGCTAACAGGGGCGCAAGAGGGTTACCCATCGCAACACCATCGATTTGTTTGTATGCATTTTCTTGAGAGGTGAATCTTATACTTTCTGTACACATTAAGATGATGTCTCTGATGTAAGTTACAGGAATAGGCAAGTTTATTTCATTGCTTGTGATGTAATCGAAAAGGAAATCAACAGTTTAATTGATGGGAACATTGGTGAATAAAGATTCTATGTCAATAGAACACATAACCTTATCCTTGATGTTCAAGGTGTCTAGCGTATCTGTCAGATCAAATGAACTTTTTAAAGAATGATTTGATAATGAGTCTCTTACAGGCGTAAGGACTTCTGTAATCCATTTTGCGATTTTGTGGTATGGAGATCTCGACATGTCTAAGATGGGTCTCAGTGGGTTACCAGTTTTGTGGATCTTCGGAAGGCCATAAAGCTGGGGAGTATGCGACCCAATTGCTTTAAGTTGTTTATAAAGGTTTTCATCTATAAAACCATGCATCAGTAAAATCTGAAGCTGATGGTTGATCTGATTTTCCACAAGCAGCACATTGTCAGTGGCATTGTCCACCAGAAATTTGGACTGATCTTTGAGGATATCATTCATTTTGTTTTGATAATCCCATTTGTCCATAATGACAACGCCTTCTCCCTTATCAGGTTTAAGGATAATAAGATTATCTTTTTCAATTAATTCCTTAAGTGCGGCGTGGTGTTCTTTTGATAAATCATTTTTCTGGTGTATTCTAGCATTTAGAAATTGGTGAGAAATGTCTACCAGTTTAACTTTAAACCAGTCAAGATCATCTTTACTAGAAGGAGTTAAATCAGAGATTTGATCATAAAGGTTTTCATACTGTGACTGAACTTCCATTTTGTTTATTTTCATAGGAATAGTTTTGTACTTCAATCCATAAGATAATGCTTCCAACTGTAGTTGGGATAGAGTGCAGTTAGATAAATTAATTATATGCTTGTGGATATCTTGAGGAAATTCCAAAATATGATTCGTGTCTTTCAAAGATTTTGTTAATTTTTTTTCAGTGGAAGTTATAGTCTTTTTTACCATATCATTGCAAAATACAGTGAATTTAATCCGATATACTAAAGATAAACTATCCATAACGGGAATTAGTCTTTGGTGTGTTTCAATAAATTTCGAAAGTTTGTCATTAATTTGATCAATTTCTAATTCAGCAAGATGCTGAAGATTGGAGAGTGAAGATTTTGACTTATTTCGACGTAGTGATTAGTAAAATGATATAGGAAAATTTTTATTTTGGATGCAGTTGCGATAAAACCATAGTCGTTCACGCTGAATAACAATTTTACATCTCAGATTTAGAAGACAGTTCAGAAGTCTTATAGTATCTTTCGGGAGCCTTCGTTTGAGAAAATTAAAACAATTAGTCCCTTTGATAAATTTGAATAAGGCATTAAAACTTAAAAGGAAATTGTATGAATAGCAATGTATGTAAGGGAGTATTCAGTTGACGAGTCCTTCCACCGAAATTTATCAATTCATTCGATACTGCCCCCTTCACTACAGTTGTTGACTTAAATTAGCTTTATGGTTACAGATTGAAACAGACACATATAAATTCGTAATACACAATTGAATGATAGCTGCATTCTTGATCACAAACTTACTTTATTCCTTCTAATTTCTGATCAGGTAAAGAGCAAGATTTCAACAGCCAACAGTGTGATAAATATCTGGTGAAAGTGGACGCTTCAGGTAGTCTCTTATGCCTATTTTATATTTTGATAAATAATTATATTGACAGTAGTAATATATCATAATAAATTATAGTGATATTTGACATTATCTTTGTTGTTATTATTATCATGCCTTTAAAGATATGACAAGTGTAATTCCTAAAGTCACCATGCTTTCACTACCAGTTGAATTGAATGACATGCAGATGTATTTGAATAAGAGCAATTCGAACACTCCCTAGTAAGCGGTGGTCGATGGAAATGATGATTTCACTAAGAAGAAGTCTAAAGAAAAAACAAGCCGAAATGAGTCATTTTTGTTTTTCTACAGTTACAATGAGACCAGCACACCTATAACAGAAATTAACTGACTGATATTCTCCCATTGTTCTTAGGTTTCAGAGTATCTTCTGAAGCTGTGTATAGATTTTGCATCACCCATTGTGCTTCTCATGACCAACCTATCTCATCTATCTCTGAGTCTGACAGTTGTGAGGAATCTAAAGAACTTACCCTTGAAAAATGCAGCTAACGAAAAAGACAGAGGCTATAACCTGAGAGATTTCGTATGAAAATTTAGCATCATATGGCATAACGCGTAAACCACTAGGTGGCAGGGGAATCAGGCGAAATGATTCCTGTAACACATGATTTACATGCAAGTAACATGTGGATTCTGTCCATGTGTGTGTGTGCACATGTAGTTGTGATATCTGTTTCCACACCTGCATATTGTGAAGAACATTTCAACTAATGAGTACGTACAACGATGATTTACTCAATGTATTGAATTATTCATAAATTATTTCATATGATTCCTGGTCATTGCATTCCCCAATTTAATTCATTATGTATAGTGAGATGTGAATATAAACCAACTGCCTCCATTAAATTTCAGATGTAGAGAAATTGATAAAAAGTTTAGATAATGAATATTATAACAGGGCAAAGTTCGGTGCTTCAGTCTGTAAGTACAGCTTTTTTGTTTTGGGCCTTCTTAGTTATTCTATTTCCTCCAGTGTTCTCACAACTCCAACACCGAAAGAAAACGAAACAACTAATTGAAATAGTATAAAGTGATCTCATGTGTTACGTGTAACATGCTGAAGAAATTATCTACTAGACAACAGTGTCGTGGTAATAGTTTGTTTCCAACAGTTACCAGAATTCTTGCACAGAAGAATCTCAGCTGAAGGTGACTAAACTGTCTCCCCTCGCAACCTAGTGATACTTTCCTTTTAACAGCTGTCATCTGCGAGTGAATACCACCACAACATTTGAAGCACTTACTTATTGTAGATGCAAACTATTCCATCACACAACTGAGATTCATTCGAATTCATTCGACAGCTCCTATCACGCGTACTTATCAAATGTGGTTGAATAGACTGACACGTCAAAGATCAATGTCAGCATTCATTGGGTAGCTAAATGTTATCACCATTTCACTTTGTAGTTTTGAAAAATCTCCATGAAACTGCTGTCAACAATTTAAAAAGTAAGTTTAACATCATGTTAATTTTTCATATTTGTAATTATGTGAATTTGACTGATGGAAGAAGATGCTTTCATGGAAGTGTGGTTGAGATTTAAAACAATGTAAGGGATAGCAAATAACATGAGTTAAGTCACCATAATTTCAGTAGTCACATTATATCGGAGGTTGTTGACGTATTCACCCTATCCCACACATCCAGTTTAGAGGTGATCGATGCAAAAATGATATATAGCTTTATGTGTTTACATTTCACACAATACGAAATGAAACGTACAAGAAGTTCAGTAAGGATGTTGATCTTTCCAACGATTTCATGCTCAAAAGCAGCTGAACAGTCACATTCTCATACATGAGTTCACACACTAACGAAAAAGATTAAGTACGATAACAATTCTCAACTTGACGCGAAAGTTTCAAGGTGTGAATGCAGATTCTAGGGGCTTATAAACAAAATCACACAGGATTAGAAACTGGTTGTAAATTGTTTTTGAACGAATACAGCTGTGAATAGGATGATATTCTCTAGTCTTCCGGTGCTGCTAAGCAGTGTTAACGACAAACTCGCCAATATAACCACTCTTGTGCACATATCAGTTTACCTGCTCGTGAACAGCTATGCGCGTCTATTCAATCATGTTAGAAAACACTATCCAGCAAGCTTCAGAGAGAAGACACTGGTTCAATACGAAGCGCCATAATTGAGCACCTCGTTAACATAAGCAACAGCATTTCAACTGACTCACTAATCAGATTCGTTCACAAAGTAGACAAAAATCTCCTGGAAGGTAGTAAGTTTCCGACTTATCTATACTGCAGATGTCATAACCATATTTATGGAAAAGCCGGAGCCAAATGCTCAGAAGTAGCAAGTTCAACCGCTGCATTTACCAACGATCCACTTCGGTTCGACTCATTAAATTTTTGTTGTCTGTTTTTTCACTGCCCCCATATTTTACACCTTCAGTTATAAAAGCTACTAATCCAGTTAGTTTCCATGCTTCTCCTGTTCACACATGCATTGGCTCAGAAACAATTTTACAACCATTTTCTAATCCTGTGTGATTAAGTTTATTCGCTTCCCAGAATCTGCATTCACACCTTGAAACCTATGACATCAAGTTGAGATTTGTTATCACCCTTAATCACCTTCGTTATTATGTGGTCTTAAATAACAACTGTGCGTCGGTGTCACAGTTTTAAACGCTCGCTGACCATAGACATGCTCCGGGGTTCTATCTCTTGGCGACGCACACGTGATATCAGTTGTCAGCTTGCTAAATTCGGCTAACGATATCACATGCTGAAAATTCCATACTTATTCCAAAAATACGGTGTGGAATCAAGCCAGAATAAAAAATAAAAAAATTTGTAAACTCATGTAAATGAATGTGACTGTTCAGTTTACTTTGAGAACGAAGTCGTCGGAAAGATCAACATTTCTGCTGAACTTCTTGTTTTCTTCTCGCTAATGTCCCGATGAGTATCTTCCATGGATTCAAAAAAATGAAACCAACGTCTTACTGGTAACAGCACTGAATTTCCGGTCTAATTTCATAGAAGAATATCAGCCTCATTCACTGCTAATAATTCTTAAGTGAAATAAATCTGGATAACATGACTGACTGAATCCATACTAACTGCAGTGGTGAATCTTTATTACATTGTCTGCATTGAAGAAGTCTTGAAATGAAGCGTAACATAATTGAGTTTCAGAAACTGATAAGTTTATTTTATTCAGAACAATCAGCGCTCTTTCCTTCAACACAGTATTCATGACAAAAAGTGAACGTTTCACTCCTTCAATATGCGCATCATTTCTTTATTTCACCTGATTCGATCTTTCAAAATATTTTTAAATTATTCCTTTACGTTCTCTGGGGAATACAGGGCTTCAAGCTAGAGGCTTGAAGTTTCGGTAGCGCAAACTTACCCCCTTACCAGTTTTAGTACTGGTTTAGTGAGGTAAAGAAGTGCGTCTGTGGCCGGGTATCCAAACCTGAAGCACCAGCGTGGTTGGCGAGCATTTCATCGATGCGCCACCGACGCACACTACATTCATAAATATTTATATATATATATGGGCGACTGTACACAAATTGAGAATGATATCGGTGAAAAAAGTAACACAATTTGTTGAGCATCTTCTCACCCCCCACCCTTCTCATGTGTCTCAATGGAGGGGGGGAATTTCAAGTTGCTGCTTAAACTTCAAAAACGCTTGAAGCCCTCATATGTTGCACGAGTCGGAAAAAGGCAAATGAATGACAAACAGACATGAGAGGAGGCGGGAGGGCAGAAAATACTCCTTTTCACACACATATATATCTGTCGATAATACTCATCGTTTATATTTCCTATGCAGAAATAAAGAAACGCAACTAGAAGAATACAATCAACGTCTCCTTCGCACTTGCCGTCAAACCACTAATTATTTGTGGTAGTGAACACACATAAAACGTGACGGTTTTCATGAATGTTTTTTCACATTAACATGTTTGTTAAATCATCTGTTGTTGAATAATTCTCATTGTTTCTGGAAACTTGACTCATCTGCTTTTCTGCTGTGCTAATTTACCATAACTCGTTTATAATAAACTTTGTCCCATTCCATTACTGTTTCATTGTTTTATAAAAGTTAATAAATGAAATAGTGAAATGAATTTATTGTTTTGATGAATCTCTGAAATTCTGTGGGGTTTTGAAATTCCCAATGCACATAATGATATGACATTTTAGTGTTTTGCTTCACCATTAAAGCCTATTTCTAAATTTCGTTAATGCGCTGAATATGGAGACGCTAATTTGATGTTGTTCAACATCAAGATATTGAGACTTTAGGACGATGAGATGTAGAACGAATGAGATCTCCTTTACTATATGCAAGAATTTGTGGTCTCATGATATGTAAACTCCAGACAGTGGTAATCACTTTCCTAATGAAATAGATATGTTTATGTAACTTTAACCGGCTGTGTAGAATGAAATCCAAAGATGAGTTAGGGAAGTGGCACTCTTCTCCAACCAATACTGAGTGCTGAATGTGGAAATCAGTTTCAGTGAGTGTATGGTAGTGCATGGTAGTAGGTAAACTGATTTATAACACAATGCAACCAAAATGAATCTTTTGCCTTATAGAATTCTACAGCTTCTTATCCGATCCTTAGAGAAAGAACAATTCGGATGAACTGGCGACTGCAGCACTGTCTTCATACACATGTTGTGATACTACACTATGAGAGGACACTAAGGACACTGAGAATCTATCAAGGAGTCAAGTATTTCGTAAAATGTTTCACCAGTTCTGCAAGAGTAGTGTTTGTTCCAGGAGATTTATGGCATTATTCAAACAAATGATGGGACTCTATTGGAAGGTACTTAGTGTTAATTTGAGAGAAGCAGTTGTGAAGAATATTCCCCATTTTATACACCAAACACTGGAGTGTTGCTAACTTTCGAGTCATTTCTGTACGAAATATTTGTGAATCATTGACTCCTTTCAAAATAGGAATCAAAGATGAATAGGTTAACCTGGCGTGCCTACACCTATTGTTTAACAAAATACAGAGAATGTTTCGACCAGGACACAAATGCAATCCCCTACTTATCTGTAGCATTTCATGTTTCACTGAATCACTCTTCACTATAGCTATGACCAACGATTTCCTCTCCGTCGGATAACTTCCACCCATATTATCTAGGTCACGTTACTGTAAATTTATAATTCAATTTATCAGCAATGCTAAAGAAGGGCTACATAACCAACGTACAGATGCATAGCTGTTCTGTATTCGGATATTAGTCCAGTGGGAGTTTGTATGAGTAAGACGGTTCCCGTCATCACACATCAATTGGTTTTCATATCAATGAATGCGAACTGAGTGTACATCAGCACTTCTACAATTCTGTCTAATTTCATCGACCAGATAACTTGTCAGTAGCATCATCAGGGAAGTTCCAGTGCTACAGAAAGTTGATGAAGTTCTCAATTCATAGGTTTGAATATCACTCAAGTGTATATTTATAGGGAGAAATGTTTGTTAATAAAATATTGTGGCTGTTTGAAATAAACATGGCCACATTCAACACACTCACAGCAGGAAATCAAATAAGTTTGCCTGAAGTTAAGAAGGTGATATATTTTGAGAGTATCGAATCTAGCGTGTGTTCACTCATCTATTCAAGGAAAGAACAGTGAAATGGTTTAAAACAAGTTCATCTCAAATCTGGTTTATGTCAATCTTGCCAATGTATCAAATAACTTTTCAAACAGAGAGAGAAAGAGAGTATTACATTATGCCAATCAATGGCCTGAGGTTTTCAGATAGTCACTGGAATAATTGATAATGGAGTGAACTAAATACAGCTGACTGAGTGTCATCAATTAGTCAGTGTAGTTTGGCGGTCACTGATGCTCGAATGTCGTCATCGTCAGTAATCACCTATTGAATTTCAGAAAATTGACAATTCTCATATTTCCCTAATGTGTTTCACTGATATTAATCACTACACTAAATCCACTACACTAAATAATGCTTTAAGAGGTTGTAATTTGGAGAAGGGAATCTGTATGCCGTATTGCTGCAGCTGAGACAGTTCATTCATCATGAGTGGCAGACGGAGGACTCTCATTCTGAATATGAACGCTGGTAGCAAACAGAATTCTCAAACTGTCAATGCTCAATCATAATCTATATTCCTTATAAACTAAATGAGATCATTACTGTTACCGATGGATGCTGTTTTCTCACATTTCACTCAACACTTGATCGAAATATCTCTTCCTCTTAATAGTCCTCAGATAATGTCATACTCAACTGTGACGTTGACATAATCTCCAAATGATTCACAAATTATTCTTTTTCTTCGAATACTGACATTTTGTAGAACATCGTGGTATAATTTCATCTGACTCTGTCGTCCGATTGATAATCAGACTGAGTAACTTTAATTAAACCAGCAATACTGCCAATCATACAGATTTTCACCCCGAAAATAAGGCGTTGATAACAATCCTCATGATATGAACATCTTCATATATGTTTGGATTGTTTACAGAACAGCAAACAATGTCACTGTTTATAAGTGATGAATATGTTTTATAATTTCCGGAGGAGATCCACATGAGTTTAACTAAGCCAAATGTGAAAGCATTGCTATGCACTGGAGTGAACGATGAATTCATAGATGATATTGAGAGCTCATCCACGTGTCTGGAAACTCAGTTGCACCCAAATTTCATTCGAGTGGGCAAGTCGCTTGCAAATTCAATCCCTTTATGTTCGAGGCACAAATGACACTTGTCGCACCTCGTATGCTCACAAACACTTCGTGGAATGCTGGACAGCGCAGAAGTCCATCTTATCCCAGAATTTCGCGGCAGATTCGATCCAGTAATAGTACTTCTCATAAACGCAACACACATGTTATGCTGCCAACCTTTTTGAAACAATGAAGCCAGTGAACAGAAAAAGAATGGCTGTTTGAACCGACTATCACGCAGAATAATGATGATGGCGTGAAACGTGTGAAATGCACCTGGTGAGTAGATCACATCGATCCAGCTAGCAAGCTCTACTGCCTCACTTGGATAACTCCCAACTGACCATATCGATCAGCGATACATTTCAACTTGCTATAAACCTGAGAGTAAGTCGGAGGTTCAGTTATCCCTTAAGGTTTCAGTGATTACTCGACCACTAACAACTTGTGACGACAACCAGTTTCACATACTACAGCGAGGGAAGAGCGATACTCAAATATATAGTCAACTATGGATTGTACACGTAAATTTACAGAATTCCATTTTTCTAAGGAGAACCCTTCGTATTGGTACACTACGCTACTTCTTCTTCTTTTTTCTTCAACGTCAAATCCAGTACGAATTCACATACGAATACGTCAACTGGATAGTAGGTAGTGAAAGCTACATAATTAAAGTATTCAGCCGACAGAGCACAGTTACGCCAAAATCCATCATCTCAGCTACACATTTTGACTATTATTTCAATAAGAATCTTTAATATTGTTATCACTGCTCACTGGTGACTACCGACTACGGAACGAATATTTCTGGAGTTCTAGTGAGAGGTCGTGGTGACTGATGTCCACAAATTCGTGTGAGGACAAATATTTCTCTGTCTTCTATGTGGGGCTTCTTTGAAGTGATGGCTTCAGTGAATCTTCATCCGTCCAACTGAGGAGTGTGCCTACAAATGCAAGTCGGTTGCCACTTTCTTCCTCGCATGCAAGACTTACATGATTTTACATGGAGTTGAGTCTGTCCAGTAGATGAGTTGCTTCTTCATGATAATCACATATCAAAATAGTGCCATCACCACACCGCCTACAGAAAGACACTATAACAATCTAATCATTGAACGAGTTTTCCATGAGAACCATTTAAAAATCAGCCAATAAGTTTCCCAATGGACTCCCATTGTTATGCCATCCACATATCAAAAGCGTTCATCCTTAAATGTCAAATGAAGGTTATCAGATAAACACAATAATAATAATAGAGAATCTTTCAAAAAAAGCGAACCGGAAATAAGTTTCTCATGTGCTAGGTGAAGGCAGGGTTGGACATCGGGACGTGTTGGCAGAAAGCAATTCTTCACTGAGTTGTCATCTTGTTGGTTTCATGTAGTATTCTTCTTTGATCACCACTTCAAAGTCTAATGTGGAATTTAATCATTCAATATGCTTGTGTGTTTTACGTATTTGAAATCAGCGGATTAGTCAGACAGCGGTGGACTCTTAACTGATTGGTCAAGTGGTTCGAACGTCACTTCGTATACACCCAACCACTTAAGTTTTTGACAATCTTCACTTGTCAAGTGTCACTCTCAGCTACCAAGATGAATGTGAATCTGATATCGATACTAGATAGTTGGAGGTAGTCTGCAGCAAGCCAAGGACTGAAGGCATGACACTGCTTACTTCTTCTTAGTGGCTAATCAAAGTATCTATTAAAGTCCTGCAGGAGAGCAGAAACCAGCCAATATTGTTCAGTGGCGGCGACGTGTCTGACTGGAGAACTGGGTGACGCGAGGGTTTCAGTTTCCAGGAAGACATGGGTATTCCTATAAGATCACCGATACGTCTTGCTGACTTGTAAGTTCCAAAAGGCATGAAACCTAGGTCCAGATAGAGCTTCCTACTGATTTCCTCCAAACGCCCATTGTATATATATATACATCTTATTCAAATGAAAGTTCTTTGAAGGCTGAAATGTTGTGACAATTGTAATATGAAGAATATTTTGCAAAACTGAAGGCGAAAACCAGGTTTAATAAAAACAACTCAAAATATAATGAAAATATGGAGTGGAATGTGAATTATTTTTAATACTGCTAGCACCGCATATTGAATTTATTATGAATCTGCACCGATTAAGTGGGTTGTGATGGGTGATGCCCACGCGAAATCATCGCCTTCCCCATCCATGAATGTCAGATGACACAGCACTAGTTGAGCAGAGAGTAAGCGGTGGACAATTCAGAGCATGGTCTCCCTCCACGACGCTCAGATTCTAGGAACTTTGGGGATTTCGAATTAATTCCAGTCGTCAGATCTTTGTCGCTAACTGATATCAGTTGAA